ATCACGGCTGGCTCCGCCCAGCTGTCAGAAGCAGGCTGGCTCGGCCAGCTTCGGCTTTCAGCACGGCTCAGCCGAGCCGAGGCATATGCGTTGAATGACAACACTACAGTTATGCAAATGGTCACAGTATTATGACAAACTACAAAGGGGATAAAAATCCCAGTGAACTCAATGCATCTTTGTGTACAATTCAACACATTTTGTTCCTTCTATTCTGCTGGCGATGGACAACAGTGAAAAGCTTTGAGATAATGGGAGATGAGATTAAGTTTAGCACGGTTGCATGCTCTGCAATACCAACCTTCAATACAGTGGCATATGCAGTAAATATGAATAAAGAGCTGCCTTCTCAAAGCAGGAAGAATTCAAGGACTTATGAAGTGTGGTTCTACAAAAGGACAGTGAACAGTCAACGGATCTGGGACCTGACACCAGCTGGTAAAGCCTATGAGGACAGAAATTACTTCCATCTCCAGTCTAAAATTACTATCAAAACAACATTATTATCCATAAAGTCTGAGTACTAGACCTGGGGCTGTATATAAATGGGAGCAGTGATGGATAAGTGCCAGTTCCAGTTCTGATAGACAGTTGGGGGTACAATGTGGATACACAGGAAGCCACAAAGGCTTATATTTGTTTTCAAGAACTTCAACAACACTCAGTGTCAAACTTTGCCACAAAGTTCTTTACAGTGTCCAAGCATGATGGACTATCTAGTCTAGTGATGGACTAGTACTATGTGTCCCTCTCCCAGTTTAACTGCTGCTGTGCAGGGGGTGACTGGGGCATCAAGACAGATTATATTGCTTATGCTAGTTGTACATAAAATATACAGTATTTTCTTTTGTTAAGGAAGCATCCAACTGAAATAATTGATGTTTGCTCTTATCTGTCTGTAGCTCATCTTTGTGTGTGACCAATAAGCAATGTCAACGAAAATTTGATACTCACAGCATTAAAACACCAGTTTTATTTTTCACAGGCTGCTTTCACAAGTCAATCCTTTATATATAATAATTAGAATTTAGGCGTTACTGCTCTTGGATGACGCTCTGTCTCCCTGCATCCTAGGACTTATGTAACCCTATACATTTCCATTTTGTCCAATGGGATATCATGTGCCAGCTCCTGGAAGAAGGCCATTATGGAACCCTTGATATATTTTCTATTATCTCAAGTAATCCACATAGAATGGCAATGCTTCTCTGGGCTTTGTTTTCACAGAGATATCACGGAGATAGTTCCTTCTTGCATTACTCTATTTATTTTTCATAACGCTTGTGTGTGGCAGTGATATTATCTACACAGACTTTTGGGTAGGATGTGTAGAAGCCTAGATCTTTGATCTAGTGTAAGGGTCAAGTTGTGAGTTTTGGGGAAGCTTTGCAGTATCCCTGGGTTTGTGCTCTACACTTGCTTAATTTAGTTGAATAGTATTTGATATTCATAAAGGAGCTCTAAGAAGATAGTCAACACAAGGTTCTGGCTCCATCTTAGTTCTCATATAGAGGATATTTGTTCTGGTGCTAGTGTCTTCTTGTATTTGGTCTGTTTATCCATACATATACTCCCTCACTTGATTGAGGATCTGTGAATGGAGAGACTATATTTCTCCCATCCATGTTCCTGTATGTCTGTATCGAAGTATGGACATTGACAGGAGGAAGACTGCAGTAGCCAGAGCATTGCACCCATAATCCACTGATCACCGTTGCAACAGAATAACAAATGCACACTTCTTCATAAAAGAAAAAATTTGCATTTATTTTTTTATTCTTCTAAAAGGTGGAATTTCCATTGAAAGATGAGCTCCAGCCAAACAGCTTCATACACAGTTGAAATACAGCAGTTTCTTCTGTCCATTTTCAAACAGAGTCAAGCGAATAAGCGAATATATGTAAAAAAAAAATAAAAAAAAAAATTAGTAGTACGGTAGTAGTAGTAGTAGTAGTAGTAGTAGTAGTAGTAGTAATAGCATGGGTACTAAATAATATCCAAGGGAAGTTTTGTTTCATGTGCTTCCTGTTGCTTTTACATGTATTTAATGCAGTAAATTAATTCCAGACTTCCAGTCTTCAGAATTCCCACTACCTAACTCCTTAATTACAGTTTATATCACCCAGTAGTGGCAGCGTGTTTCCATAACAGGTATGAAGAACAACATAAACAGAAACTGATAAGCTTTCTGGACAAAGTTGTTTTGTTCCATAGAGACTATAAGAGATTATAAAACAGCTGATACCTTTTTATTATGTTATAAATTAATTCGGCAGAAAATACATATTTAGATAACATTGTACAGTATTGATTCCAATATTAGTGCTGGAAATTATTTGAATAACAAGCTTGTTCTCCACCATTAAAAGAGTTGATGAAACTTTCCTTTGCAAAACCATACTATGCATAGGATATACATGATCACGGCATGGTTCAGCAAGGATAGGGCCATGGCCAGGGTGTCAGTGAATACTTTTAGGTTTTAAGGGTTCAACAAATATCTCATCCTCCCTCAGTCTCTTACTTTTGGTTTAGGACAGACAGGCCTGGTAACATACCCATGGGATGCCCTAGATTGTCTAGACCATGGCAACCAGTCAGTCATTTTCTAACCCAACAAGGGCTGATTTCTTAATGGTGACAAAGGTGGAATAAACCAGCGCAATGTGGGTCAGCATGACTGATCATAATCTCAATCAGTGGTGCATTTGGCAGGATGACAATGCAAGAGTACAGTTTGAAGCAGTGGCGGATCCAGGGGGGGGGAATGGGACAATTGCCCCCCCTCCCCCAAGATAGTGCCGCTCCCTGCCTCTCCCTGCCTCTCCCAATCACGGTACTAGTGACCAACAGCTGTCACTGTCACAGACTATACTGAAGTTCCTTATAAAAAAAAAAAAAACGGCACGGTACTTGTAGTTTACTGTTTTTTTGCACGGAACCGCAGTAAACTCTGTGACAGTGACAGCTGTATGTAGTGGTGGCTGTGCGGGGATGTACAGGCGGCTGTGTAAATGCCTGTCACCTGTTAGGAATGTTTAGCCTGGCGGAGCCTGTACAGACTCTGCAGGCACCACAAGGCAACCCCATCTCCCATATGCAGAAGCATAATGCTCAGGAACCAGTACACTGTTTTTTTCATTAGTCCTTCACAGCTCAACCTCTCCACCCTAATGTCCTGCCCACAACCCTGCCCACCTCTTTCCAGTGCTCGAAAATGTCTCACATCTGCACAAAAGGCATAACTTTAAACATGTTAATCACAGGGGACTAATGTAAATGACATGCTGACATCACAGCAATCCCACAGTGGCATCATTCCTGCATCTGTATCTGATAGAGCAAAAATATGTTCCTGGCTAGAAGGTTTTGGTGGATAAAGCCCATGTGATACTTTGTTTTTATCACTAGGGCACACCGCTTAAAGCAGAACTCCAGGATTTTTTTCTGTATCCCTTGCAGTGGGGCTACCCCCCACACTGCAATGGTTAACTCAGTGGTGTTACAACAGGGTGCAGCCCACACCATGTGACACCATTGGAGGGGGTGACATCAAAATGACTGACAGTCATTTTGGTGTCAATCTCTCTAACAAGTTGGGCATGCGGTCATGGACTAAGAACCCAACAGTTGCATGAGAAAGGAGGGGACTCAGAGGCATACTTTATCCCGCCGGGTGAACATCCCCTCTTCTCTTCTTCACCAAGATGGCTGCTGTCAGGTAAGCGTGTGATAATGTCCTAGTGGGGTGTCACCCAGTGACCGCTCCAGGTGACAGCGCGCCTCATACAGATACTCATCCAAAGCTCCAAGCCGGCTCCTTCTTAAACTGATCCCTGGAATGTCTCTACCCCTCCTCTGCAGCGGTCTATGGTCCAGTAAATCATGACGACTATACATTGTGCATAGACGTGAGGAAGATTCTAATGTTCTGCGGAGGAGGTGACAGCTGGCTGGCTTGGAGCTTTGGGTGAGTATATCTTTGTTATTTTAGGACATAGGCACAAACAAGCACTTAACCCTTCCAGGTGGGGGGGGGGGTAGCACCCCAGCAGGGGTTAAAAAAACATTCCAGAAGTTCTCCTTTCAGTCAGTTTTGAATTTTCCTGATTGCCAAACTGCACTTCTGATTCTACATGTTTCAGATTTCCCAGATTTCGTTTTGTGGAGGAATTGTAACTTAATATTTCCTTACTTGGTTTGAAGGTCGTCTCCTGCAAGACGGGCGTTGTCTATGTGCAGAAAAACTCGATTGTTTTTTATTCTGGCATCCAATATCTGAAAATGTTTGCAAAATTAAAGATTAAGAAAGAAGAAAACATCTATCATCAAGACAAGCATTACCACTAACACTAGTACAAACACAAATGCACATGTGGCGTGGTATATTTGTTTATTTATTAGGTATATGAATATGTTTTTGACAGTAACCATTTAAATTTCCTAATAAAAAAAACTGGGGTGGTTTCCCAACAATCATTCCCTGCATATATATTCCTATAAGTTGTTTATGAAAATGTCAACTTTTTACTTAAAATTCAACAGAAAAGCTTTCCCTTCAGCTTTAGATGCTCCTCCTACTTACTGGCATTGTCCCTGTGTCTACTGAAGGTATTCAATGTTTGAGAACAAAAAGGATGATGACTTAAAGGGAAAGCCCCCTTAAAAATGTTTTTTTAAAATTAAAACATTGTAAATAAAGAATACATGTAAATTGTTGGTTTACATAACGCCCCCAGAAATGTCATTTCCTACTTCTCTGATTGGCTGACTGATTTTGACAGACGTCTGCACTAAGATACAAGTACAATTTTAGGCATCCTTTGCTATAGGAGTTTCATTTTTGGGGACAATGGTGCTCTACTCCCTAAGGGTTAATTACCGCTAAAGGGATGCAGACGCTGCAACTTTCCTCTTTTGAACACAGAAAGTCCACCAGCTGATTCTAATGAACTTGATCCTTCCATTCAGGACTAGTCTAGAAACCATGTTTTCTTCAAAACAGAACAGGTGCAGTAGGTATCTGCAACAAAGTTGGTAAAATCCTCCCAGTGTCCATTGATCACTCAGAGGGGATTGATTATTTTTTTATCAATCCCCTCTGATAACTCCAAAAGTGGAGTTATCTGTAAAAAATAAGTCAAGGCAACTGGATATTTCACAGATATGCCTTGACTTATTTTTTACAGATATACCATGACCTGGATGAATGAGAACCTTCACAGACAAAAGTGGAGTTACTCATTCAATTCTCAACTGTTGCTGTATGCACACCATGTTTACTATTGGAGCTGGTGATGTGAATGTTAGATGCTATCTGACGATTCTGAGATCATAAAGGTGCCCATACACTGCACGATTATCGTACGATAATTGTATGCGATCGTTTTTTCGTACGATAATCGAGCAGTGTGAACGGAGACGTGCGACCGTTTCTACTGTTCCGTCGCACGTCTTCTGTCGAACCAGCATGTTCGAAAACCAGCCGGGAATCGTGCGATTCTCGGCTGGTAAGAACGGTGCTCGGAAGACAAATGCCGAACGGGCCGGTGTGCGCACGCGCACACTGCCCGTTCAGCATTGCGGTCATCTGAAGCCCGCCCCTCAGGGGGGCGGGCTTGCGATGATCGAGAGTGCGATCTGCCTGTCCAAGATAGGCAGATCGTACGTTTTTTTAATCCCTGTACAACCATCGCAAGACTAAAGTCTTGCGATGGTTGTAGAGTGTATGGCCACCTTTAGAGTTTACTGCACAGGAATGAGATTTAATGCCATCAATGCGATTAGCAACTTTGATCCACCCTCAGGAGCAACACACAGCAAGGACCCTGGACCCCTGCTTCAATATCCCACTTGCAAAACAGGTAATTTTGGATGTATATATAAAGTATACAGGGCCTCTGTGAAAGACCAATTTTTGGGTTCTCTATGCAAATACTGGCTAATAAAAACGCTTATTTAGTGTGTATCATTTGACAGCTTGATAGCAGTATCTAGTTCTACGTGACAGTGGGAAGGGTTACAACACTCATGTGACCAACATCTTATATAAATAGGCTCTTAAGTCCCAGAGGGCCTTAATGCAGTTGAACAGTCTGCCCAAATGGTATGTCCCCCCTGAAAGCATTTATTTCCAGAGCATCCTAAGCTTGCTTGATCATGCTCTAACCTATTGGCCAGTGTACATGGCCAGCATACTGACTTGGCAACAGGGAGGAAAAGGAAGATGAGAAGGGACATGCCAGAGTACAAGCATTTTAAGCTCTGGATGGAAGGAGACAAACTGCTGTGGCATTATGAAATTTACCAAGTTTAAAGATGGTACGTGTACTATTATTTCATTGTCAGGACTATATACACTTGCACTGTAGAGGGATTCACTGGAAATCTAGGAAATTTCAGGTTTCAGGTATGTTATTTACCTGGGTCAGTGCCTAGTTTGTCAACCTACATAGACCTTAAGCTGGCCATATGCTACTATCTGATTGAATTATCTCTGCACAATCTTCTTTGCATTTAGCAACTTCATATTGGACGGTCCTACCTAAACAAGCCATTCCATGTATATTCAATCAGAAATAGGCCTAAACCTTGTAGTTGCCGGTAAAGCTATAGAAGATTGTACAATCAGACTGTCGTGTACAGCATGTCACAAGCCTGGTAGTTAAACCATTTGATAAAATTCTCTCATTAGCACAATTTATAAAATACTAATTATGCGCTCATTGTGCTCACTAATTTACTTGGCAGTTCACTGGTTAGTAAAATTGTTTTTCAGTAGTAAGTAGAAGTAATTCTGGATTTTGTTTCCACTAGACCTGTTTTTGTATGGAAATTAAATATTTTCCATTGAAAATCATGATCACATAAAAAAAAATTGCCACACACTGATGCTCTTAACATTCAATAAGAGTTTATTATTCCAGAGAACATGTCCATTGAGGGCATCAGAGGGGGTAGATACTGGACAGAGCTTCCATGTATATGTTGTCTGGGACAATTAAGTTTTACTGAATGCTGAGATCATCAACATGCAGCTGTTTTAATAAGATGTGGGTGTTGCATGAGGAGCATGGATGAGCTCCATCTGATACCTGCACCTGAGTGCCTGGACACCATAATCACAGCAAAAGTTTTGGAATGGTCACGTTTTCCTTTCATTTAATCTCATAATGTCTGATAATTGCTTTCTTCCTACATTTCTTTTAGTATTTGCATTTTGTGCATCCTGTAGAGAAAGAAAACTAGCTTCTACAAGGATATGTGACCACTGTGAAATAGTAATTATATAACTCCTACCTCTTTCTGAAGCTCCTCAATGACCTTCAAGTATTTGCTGTTGTCAGGTAGTTGTTGAGGCACATTTTTTTCATACCACACTTTGATCTTCCTTTCCAGTCGTTGGTTTTCCATCTCCAGTGATGCCACCTTCTCCAGGTAGGTCGCCAGTCGGTCATTTAAAACCATCATAGTCTCCTTTGTATTCATACTAAACAGTCCATCATTCTTCCCACTGCCATAACTTTCTAAACTATAGGTGCTGAAACCAGAACGATTTTCTGTACTTCCTGATCCGCACATCTTGTCAAGTGTTGTTCTTCGAAGCCTTGATCCACCATAAAAGCTGATGGACTCTGGAGAGCTCTTATTATTTACTAAAGACAAATGCCTATAAAGCGTTTTTGGTTCACCATCAAAAGAAGAAGTCCTCTTGAGAGATCCAGAAGTAGACCAAGCTTTTCTAAAATTGTAATTCATAATGAAGAGCTTGTTGTGGCTTAATAAACAAAGGGAGATGTTGTCTTTGTTAGTTTACTTTAGAAAAGGAGCAACACTATTTGTACTTCTTTTATAAGAACTCTTATGGGTGTCTCGGTGAGTTTTTATGGGAAGTTTACAGGCGTCTAGGCCTATGCCAGGCAAATCTTCAGCTTCATCAAAGGTATTTTAAGACTGATGGCTATTTTGTGTGTGAGTATGAACATCAGACAGAAAAAAATGCCACACCCTGTGAAACACTTTACTAAACATTAGTTTAGCACTGTGGACTGTAGACAAAAGTATAAATACAACATACACCTGCCAATTAAACCTGCAAATCATTAATATATGAGAAATCAGCAAGCTCAGGTAAAATGCAATTGTAAGGTTTACAGCTCCTAAGATGGCTCCTAATGTCTAAGCTATTACAGGCGATATTTTATCCATTATAATAAGCATCCTTACAGTCATTAATGGCTGTAGAGATTGGGTGACAGACATGGTCTAATGACCGCGGACTACAACAGATGCACATACAATGAAGGACAGGAGAGTAAAACCTGGTTCAGTTAAAACTTCAGTTTTAAAAATTCAGCTCCTAAACTGGTTATCTGAAAACAGACAGGTATTTTAGTGCGATATTGAGTGCAATAAAGAGGTTGCCATTGTTTTAGTTCTTCTGAAAATAATATTTTCCTGGCTCTTGCTCGTTTCTTTAACACTTAGTCTTTAACACTATAGCTGGCATGTCTAGCTTCACTTATAGCAGCCCCCCTTCCCTTTACTTGGTTGCTCCCTGGGCCTCATATGCAGTACTATAGTTTCTGGTGGCACAACAGACTGAGTTAGGGTAATGGAGTACATGTGGACTGATAGAGAAGCTGGTAGTGGTCAGAGCAAACAGCAGATGATAAGCGTAATCCAGTGACAATCTGAAGTCAAGGTAGGCAGCAATCAGAAAAGTAGTCAATTACCCAGACAAGGGGTCGTTAACAGGAGAATTCGAAGGCAAGCAGGGCAAGATGAGGGTACAGGAGCCAGGTGGCAAAACACTATTACAAGCCCAGAGCCCTGGGCTTGTGATTCTCAAACAGAGCACCACAGCTAATCAGTGGGGAGAAGGCTGTGCAGATGGAGCCAACCCGCTGCCTAGCAATGAGGATGCCTGCTGAGAGGAGTAACATGGCCAGCCAATAGCTTTGGAGGGGCGTTGCTGCCAGAGCCAGGGGTGTTGTCCCGAAACCATCAAAGCCCAGGCTGGGCAGGATAGATCAAATGGGCAGTGGGTGGAGGAGTATAAGCATGAGTGTATCTCACACCCCTGGAATGCTTTTTGGGACACTGGTCAAGAACAAGCATGCAGTTCAGAAAAGTCAGAGCTCCAAATCTGCATACTCTAGGACAGGGACTTAGGAAGTACAGAAGAAGGAGAGATCAGCAGTGGCAGGCTTCATCCTTCATATTATCAGTGATAATATGCACCAATATACAGCATTTGATATTATCAAATTAATGGATGCATTGTGGTGCTGATTTTTTTTCTGTTTGTATTTAGTGATGGGCTCGATGTTCTAGTCGAGCAACAATTCAACTCGAACATCAGCAGTTTGTGTATTCGGCAAACACACAAACTATCAGGGCATAGTGCCTTGTGAAGCCTTGATTGGGTAAAGCAATGCACCTGACCACAAGTCAGGTCCAATACTTCACCCAGTCACAGCACAGTGCACTCTGAGAGCCATGATTGGGCACAGTAATGATGACTTTGCCCAATCATGGCTCACACAGCTAAGTCCTGTCAGGTGCTGGACAAATGTAAACAGCTGGGCGGAGCTAGCTAGCTGTCACTGGTAGCTCCGCCTAATTGTTTATATTTTGCCGGCATCTGTCAGAATGCCATTCTGCAGAGGGGTCAGCGGGCATCTGGCTTTTTAAATTATTATTTCTATTTATTATGTTTTTTTATTTTGTTGAGTTGTCGCTGGATGTCATAATAGACCCTAGGATTACGTCGGTGGATCCATTTTTTTGTTTTTATCTTTTTTTAAAAATAAAAGACTTTAGACTTTAAAATATGTTTTTTGTTTTGTTTTCAATTGAAGGATTTTTACATCTGGTGTTTTTATTTACAATTTATTTTAACCCTTTAGTGAATGGGTAGGGGTACAAGTACCCCATACCCATTCATAAGGGGGGGCGCATCAAGGGGTACACTGATGTAAATAATCCCCCTTGTCCGCACCCCCACAACCAAAGCCCCAGAGCTTGTGGTGAGGAGGTCCTTGTCCCCGTCTGCACGGGGACATGGTGCTTTTCCAGGGGTTTCCCTGGAAAAGCACACTCCCAGTGCCGAGGGAATGTGGCCTGGTGTGGCGTGGGGGGGCGCTCACTCGTCCCCTATCTTTCCTGCCCTGCCAGGCCTGTGCTCGGATCAAGGGTCTGGTTGGGAATTTTAGGGAGCCCCACTTTTTATCCCCCCAATTTTTGGGGTTGGGGTTCCTCCCTAAAATTCCTACCAGACCTAAAGGGTCTGGTATGATTTTTGTTGGGAACATCAATCTTTTTTTTATTTAAATGGGGTCCCTCCTAACTTTTCTACCAGACCTAAAGGGTCTGGTATTGTTTGGGAGGGGGATCCGCACGCTCTTTTTTTATTTCTTTATAAATGTCACTTTTTGCTGCAGCAGGTTCTATACATCCTACAGATGTGCCACTTTACAGGCAGGTTAAGTGGATCCCCCAAGCACAATATTTAAAGCATTTATTTTTATTGTTACCCTTTAAGCAATGTTAAAATTACTGCTCTTTTAAAAACAGTTTTTTTAAAGTGTTTTTTTCTTTGTTTCATGTCGCCTAGGGCAGTACCCGAATCCCCATAACCTTTTTATGGCCAATAACTTGCATATAAACCATCAAAATGGGGACATTGGATTTTTCGAGTTCTGGTCCCATAGACTTTCATTGAGTTCGAAGTTCAAACTTTTCCATGTTCTAAAGTTCCAACTCGAATTGAGCTCGGGTGTGTTCAGCCCATCACTATTTGTATTCAGTTGGGAAGATTTCCCTTCAATTCTTGTTCCAGAAATAAAAAAAAAGTAAAAAGGGAATGCCCTTAAACAAATGTCCCCATTGCAACTTTTCCCCTCATCTTCTTTTACTGTGACAATTTTGGATTTCCCATCACTTTCTGCACCAGGCAATGTTCACTGGGATTAACAAAGAGGAGGAATTATCCCAATGAGTAAACAGCTTAAAAAAACTTTACACAAGTTTTAACCCTTCCAGGTATCTCAGGGTCCCTAACCCTCGTATCCTCTCCAGCTTTCCTGGCTGTGTCACTTGTGCTCACACACGCAGCAGAGTCTGCCTGTGGTCGTGTGCCTCCTGCATACCCACAACTCTCCTCTGAGCACTGGGCTGGATTCCTAATGACATGAAAATTTTTTAGAGAGTTTTTATAACTTCTCCTGACTCTTGGGCTCCGCCCCATCTGCCTCTTCACACCTCCACACCGTCATCGGAAGCCGACAGTCTGAGGACACAGACTCGCCGGACTAATAGGAGCAAGCCCACCTTGCTCCAGCATCAGTAGTTACTCACAGAAAAAAGTCCAATCGCATACCAATCCATACCAGTCCAGTTGCCAATCAGCTGCCAGCTCCGTTTGGGTATTAGAAAAGGGTTCGAGCAATAGAAAGGAAACAACGAGGGATTCCTCAATCAACACTCGCAAGCATTGATAGAGGAATCTGCCCTATTTTTTTTTCCCATTCAGCTCGCAGGTTGAATGGGAAAAAAAATAAAACCGTGTATACCTGGCTTTAGCTATCATGCCCTTAAAAGATAAGTGCACTTTAGGGCAAAGGGGCAAAAATAACAGAGATCCGCCTGCCGCAGGCTCTATTGTTTATTTACATCCTGCGCCGCACGTCCTCTCAGCCCCATTGATTTCTGTGGGACTCTTCTACCTTCATCCCCTGGCCGGGAGACAAAGGTGGACGAGACCCATAGACTTCTTTATTATCATTTATCAAAGAAGTGATTTCTCACATTTGATCTATGCCTAGCCTGTTAAATAAATAAATAAAATCAAAAGTTATTACTTATTATAGTTGTGGGGTCTGCCTGGGGCTGACCTTTAAAAAAAAATTAAAGATCAACTTTTATTTCACCTCCAGCACTTTTTGAGTTTAAGGGGTTGATTTACTAACCTTTTAAACACACCACGAACGTGTATACACCTCTGTAGTGTGTTCCCTCCCAGCATGATCTATGGGAGGAATCGAAACACCTTTGTAGTGTGTACACACCCAGCAGGTGTGTTGTGCAAAGCCCTGCAATGAATTGCAAGGTAATGTGGTGTAAATTAGCTCTATGTTATGTTGCTTGCGTTGATGAATGCAGGAATGTAAATGCATGAGCTAACCATTTTTGTCTAAACTGTGAAGCAGCATTATATATGCATCATGTGCATGATTTTTCCATATATGGCATTAGTGGAAATATGCTTTTAGAGACTTTTTGGTTGATAAATACCTTTTGCTGTGTGAAAATCACACACACCTGGTGCGTGCGTGTGTTTAGGTTAGTAAATCACCCCCTAAGACTCCATTCAAACCTGAGCATGAGCGTTTACATGCAGATTTGGGGCGCTTTTTTTATTTTTCAGGCATATTCAGATTAGTGTTTTTATTTTGGTCAATTTAAAGCAAGAGGAGATGGTTGTTTGAACTTGAAAAACGCACATTTTCATGCATTTTTCAGGCGCTCCCATTGAAGTTTATGGCTCCCGCTAGAGCCAGAACTGCCCCATTCTGCTTCAAAAGTAGCTCATGTACCTTTTTGAGTTTCAGACGTCACAGGTACAGGTGCCTGAACACTCATATTTGAACAGGCACGTTTTAAAAATGGGGTTTTGAGCATTGAGCATTTTGGAGCTTTAAGGTTCAAGCTACAAAATGCTCAGGCGAGAATTAGGGCTTAATGTCTTGTCAATTAAGCAATGGAGGGACCAAGGGAGGCACTATGGCTGTGCTTAGGGCATCAGTTGCCCTCAATCTGACCCTGCTGATAGACTAAGTCAACAGTTGGAAGGCATAATTCTTTACTGTGTTTCTGTATGGTTTTGGGTGTTCCCACCAATCTTTGCATGTTCTAGAACCTCCTGTTACATTCCCCACAACATAAACTAAGTAAAAAAGTCCACCAGGGACAGTGGGAACCCCGTACAATGGGCACAACAGGTGTGCTGACCCAGGAACCTAGTGAGGAGATTTGACCAATATGTTTAACTATACAGAATCTTTTAAAAAACAAAACATACATTTTGGGTGGCCTGACCTTTTAAATATTTATAAAATAGAAGTAAATCATAGAGAATATCAGCCAAGAGAAATAATTGAACACAACACAATTATATTTTGCACAACCCATGAAGACCTTTATTGAATTTAAAGCAAATGTATTGCCTGGTGAAATCAGATATGAAATTAAAATTTTTATCTGTGCAGGTACCTCATATATAGCCACTTGATAGTAACAGAAGCATAACATTGTGCTGCTATGTAATGCTTAGTGTGCTCACTTAGAGAATAAGACAACATATAGACTTATAGACTTAATAAAGACTACCTATTGCAGTTTACATGTTGGACAATAAGGGGGTCCTTACAGGGTTCATCTGGTTGCACAGTAGAACTGGGTTGTAGTGGATGCCTTCATTCGCCATGGGGAACTGGTCTTTGGGTTATGGTGGCATCTTAATACCGCTTGAGGGTGGAAGTAGAGATGACAGTCCCACCAACTTCCTCCTTTATAAAGGCTTGTACTTTGGGGGTGGTTGAGGTTGTTGTGTTGGATCCTGAAGAAAAGGATTACGTTATTAATGTAATTGGTCTGTTTAGAGTAACTATGCAGCTTGTAGATAAGCTGGCAAGTGCTCTGTATTGTTACTTTCAAACTGGCTGGCATATATGTGATTCACTGGGAACAGGACTGGTTTAAAGCCCAATTCCAGAAAATATAAAGACCATTGAGTTTCTCTTCCTCCCTTCCATGCTGTTGACAGTGATAAAACACTAGTTTGCGTTCAAAACCTTCCCCTCCGCAGCATACACAGTGCTGTGCAAGAAGTATCTGTGCGCTGCTAAGAGAGGTCATTTGTCTACCAACCCACCACCAGTCACAAAGCCACACTGCTTGCTGAAGTAAGTTTGGTGGGGGTTATGCATACACCCCTTAAAGTGTATGTCCAGCCAAAGACTTTCTTTTGGATGTAGTGGGATAGGAATAGAACCCTTTTGAGTATATACTGCTTTCCAGACCTCTCTCTCTGCTAAAGTGACAATGGTTTCAAATGTTTTCATTTGATTCATTTGATTTCATTCTTTCTAACGTAGTACTGGATAACAGTAAAAACATAAAGAGGTTCTAATCTTTCCCCTAATCTTTCGCCCTGGGACTATGTACTTTACTACTTTTTATATTTATATATACCCCTGAGTGTATCTAAATCCAAACCTTTTCTTTAGTATTAGATGGCGTTGAAGGGTAATACCATCATTCAGGCCATTATTGCGGTTTCTGTCCTCATTAGGGAGAACTACCCTATCTAAATGTCCTGGTGACCACAGACCACCAGGACTGAACCTAGGAACCCATGTTTTGCTGACAACTGTCTAAGAGATGGCTTCACTCACTTAGTAGAGATTTGTTCTCATTTCCTGTTGTCTCCTCAATGGGAAACAAAAAGCAAAATAAGCTCGGGAGGAGTTTTAACCATTCCTCTTTAATAGCTTTAGATGTACTTTAGGATGTCAATTTCTTTGCTTATTGTGAGTTATGTGACTATTATTCCACATTGGTGTGAAAGCAAACATAAGAAGTTGCCATTTAATTGAAAGTGGACTTGCATTACATTTTAAACTTAAAAGCTTCAAACTTAAAAACACTAGGCATCTTGTGTTACCTGCTCTAGGACATGATGTCTACTTTTGAAAATGCAAAATAGAGTACAGGTACACTTTAGAATATTATAGTACAGTTCTGCTCAATTCCATTATTTACCTGATTGCAGCCCTCCAATAGAAATTCTGGAGAAAAAAAACAGGAAAACAATACATTGGCATTACTATAATAATACTTAAGCAGTATTGCTGTGAAAATACTAAAAGCATTACAGTTCACATAAACAGATCATATGATCCCACTTCAACTGTACAGTAAATTGATATATTTCAATGATATCAAAGTGTCCATTGCGCATCCTTAATATCTTCTGAAAGTGCTTTTTCAGTAACAATGGATAGTCATGTACCACAGCAAAAACCAAGGGGTGTAACATACATCAGTCTAACAATTATTTACTATCAGTTAGCCTGGCATGGTTTCCATTGTTTCCCCACAGACTGGGGTCCATGCCTTGTTAATAAAGTGGCAGTGCCAGAGAATGTAAGGGCATTACTATCCTATCAAAAGGCTTTGACCCAATACCCCATTCCTGGAATATTAACTGTTCCTGCCATATTGTCCAACAAATTCAACAAGAATAGTGGGACCCTCCATTGAATAGCATTAAATGTAGGCCGAGCTAGAAACCCAAGTGCATAAATCTCATTGCCTGCATCCACAACATCCATAAGGAACAGCTACATGATTTCTTTCTTGCAGCATCTACCCAGAATTAAAATCTATACACCATAAAAATAAATAAGCAGTTCAGGCTAAAATATTCACCTTCAATCTGGGGCTATTTCCTGTAGTGCTTTCTTTTAACCACAAAATGTCTTCTCAATGGAATGATGCCCTGCAATACTCAGAGGGAGCATCATCACATCATCCTTCATTCACAGTATAATAATCAGGGGGCGTCATCACATCAGCACTGCTCACTGCATCATCCAGGACTGCTCACCACCGGAGAAGGCCATGTGGAAGACTAGGTAGGGGGAGGGGGGCTCTTTAAATATAAACTTTGCTTGAAATTACCCTTTTAAAAAGAGCTCTGATTATTAGTTTTGGGTGAAATGCTACTGGTCTGAATACCTGTGACAGTATGGCTTAGTTACAGTTTGTTTCACTTTTTCAAAGCCATTTAAAATTCCTGAGCCAAGATTGTCACCCGCCATATCGGAGAACAGCTCAGATAGTTTTCCTGTTAATATCAATGTAGAGTCCATTATAGCCTGCCTAGGTGGCGGAAAGCGGTTGGTGTAGGACATTTAAAAAACAAATCACAGAATTTGCACCATTACATGTGATTTTAAGGACTAAAGCATTTGCTCGTTATTTATAAATTTGCCTTAGTGCAAAGCCATGCCCCTGACTGCCTGTTGCAAAGAGGAACAGACACATAAAAGTAAAAGATAAATCCATCCTTACTTCCCACCCTCTCCCTCCATAAGCTGGTGATACGTGGCAATCTCCTGTTCCAGCCTGCTCTTGATGTCCAGCAGAGTTGTATATTCTTGGTTCTGGCGTTCAAGGTCTGAGCGGAGATCTGCAAGCTGAGCCTCAATGCCACCGATAATGTTTTGTATCTGGTAGAGCTGTGCTGCATAGCGGTCTTCTACATTAGCAACAGAGGATTCCAGACCGGCTTTCTAGATGGAGAGAATAGGTTTGTATAAGAGTCCTGGCAGAATTGCTCCTTTAGGGGTTGTTGAGCAATAAAACTCTTGTACTTACGACACTCAGGAGAGACTGAAGTTCATTTTCTAGACCCTGGAGGTTGCGCCTCAAATCTGTGCTTTCTGATTTGACGCTTTGAGCTTGCTGTGTGTTGGTGACAACCTCATTCTGTAGTGCTTCAGCCTGGGAGAAGATAAAGAAGTAACTGATTGATCTTAAAATTGTACACAGGCCCCATAGAAGTCCATAGGGTTCCACTGCATATGCATAATCAGCGGAAGGATTTCAACATCAGCAGGCTGTGGCCAAGATGCATCTAGGGTTGGGATGGGTGGGTTACTTTCGGTCAGGACGGCTAGGGAGGCATGTTAGTACATTGCAGTTTATGCAGAAAGCTGTGTCCACATGTCAAAGAACTGTATGAACTGTCCTTCCTGCACACAGGAGGGAGCAATGTTTAGAGCGTATAGGAAGAAAAATACATAGGTAGAAAGGGAGTTTTACTTTGTGGATTATATTGTTTCAGTTTCCATGATATAATGAGATACCTGGCTTAGGAACAAAGCTTCAGCTTCTCGTCTGTTCTTATCAGCAATGTGTTCGTACTGTTCTCTAAGTTCATTGAGGGTCCTCAGGAGGTCAATTCCAGGAACAGCATCCAACTCTACATTGACTGTGCCGGCTGCCTGCTCTTTCTTCTCGCCGACTTCCTGCATGGGACACAAATTAATTTCAATAAATGATAAGAATCATGACTTGACAGAAAAGGCTGCTCGATGTCTATATTTCTGTTAATACATTGTGCCTTTCCTTGCATTTTTTTTTTGTAGGTATATTTGCTTTGAAATTGCAGAGTAGCTTACCAGAAATTAACATAGCCTTTGAGAATACAGAATCTAGTTTCCAATGACTGATATTGTTGCTGGAATTGAAGCAAACATGTGCTTTGCAAAGGCAGGGTATAGTAACAGGTTCACCTAACTGCCCCCTGTTCTGTTCCTTAGCAGGACAAACCTTTCCTTAACACACCCGTCTAATGGTGTGAAGGATACTGTAATTTACCTCCCTCCCCCCCATGTGACAATGTTTATCATTGGCCTAATTCTGCCACAATTGGGTTACATGGGCAAATCAAAGTGTTGCTTAAAAGTCAAAGAGTTCTTGTGTTTACAGCAGATCTACCCATCGGTGTCCTAAAGATTTTTAAAGTGAACAGGGTTGTTTTATAGCCAGTGCATTCTACCTCCCTGCTGCTGCCCTTCTGTTCCTTTCACCACCACCACCACGTTTGCCCACTGGAGCAACGTACAAATGTTTCTAGGTATTGAGCAAGTGGCTCTCTGCCCTTCCTATCATAATGTAGCAAAGGGTTCCTGTGGTGGGATGAGAAAGGTCTTCAGCCCGTGTAAACTTAATTGAGCGTGAATTTCGGTCTAAATAGGTATTTTTTTTATTCTTGTAGGCAATAAGGGCACTTTTGGCCTAAAAGAAAGGTAAGCATCAGCAGAGATGAGCTAATAAGTAAACAATTGCTTTGCCATTGATGGGCAAATACAGGTTTACTTTAACAAACTGGTGAGGTAATGGACCCTGTACTATTCAATGTTCAATTCTACCCAGAATAATCATTTTGTGGTAGAGATATTGCATTGCAGTGGAGACTAAAGAATTACTTTTTCCTTAAATGTAACTCATAAAAGAATTTGCATATCCTTGTACATTCATAAGAATCCAACATCTCTCTCTAATAAGGGCATATTTTTATAGTTTTCCAACTTCAGTACAATGATCTGCTGTGGCTTGACATCAACCTTACTTACCTCCTCATGATTCTTCTTTAGGTAGGCAAGCTCTTCCCTGAGGCCTTCAATCTGGAGCTCTAGGTCAGATCTGGTCATGGTCAGATCATCCAAAACACGTTTCAAACCATTGATGTCGTTTTCCACACTCTGGCGCAGGGAGAGTTCATTTTCAAACCTGGACAAAGAAGAGTACAATGAATGACTGCATGTTCAGCAAGGGCCAAGGCAACCCAAAAAATAAAAATAATGCCATCCATTTTGAAGCATGAAACTACAGAAAGTTTTACTTTTAGGCAGACCAAAGGAACATAACCTAGCTGCTCATCTGGTATTCATTTTCTGCCCTTGGCTTCTGCGGAAAAGCACATTTGCCAGTAACACTACCACCAGAATATCCCTGAATTAAATGAGGCCTAGGTGTTCTGTGCTCCACCCTGTCCTGGAGATTGCTGTAGCCTTGCCCACACATTTTAGCTTATGTTCATAGAAGTAGGATAGCGCATTGTAGCCCAAAAGCTACACCCAATTTCTTGGGGCCCTTGCACTGTAACTGCTTGCCAATATGTTTTTTTAGACCGGGGTATAAGGGGAACTTGCCAAGGGTCACAATCTTCTCCCAAGTGCACATAAATGCATGACTGAACAGAGCCTCAACATATGAGGTAGCACAGGATAGAAGCATGTGAAGATGCAGCAGACCCACTCAGAAACACAAGACGACTGCTAAATATGGGAGCCCTGGATTTACATAATGTTTAGAATAAAGGCGAATAAGAGAACTATCTCAATGTAGTAGCTTGTAGCTGGGTACCTTTGAGGGTCATATACACGTGCTCCAAGCCTCATTTTTCGGTAATGTTTTCAAAGTTCATAATATGAGTTTACTTCTTGCCTTAGTTGCTTTTTGAACTGTAACCAGCACATTATTCTCTGCCTACCCTTTTAGCTTTTCATAATGTTGCTTAACATCCAAACTTTAAAGACATTTTAGATTTTTTGGCAGGAGGTCAGGTTTTGACTTCTGTACTTATTTAATAATGCAAACAACTATTGTCTGTAGAAACCATAACAACCAATTAGATGTCATTACATAGCACGATAGTTTAGCCAACTCAGAAAACAGATATCTGGTTACTAAAGGTGCCCATACACTGGTCGAATTTCGTCTGGTTTTTAATGTACCGGACAAATTTCTCACAGTGTGTGGGGCTGCCAGCTCCCTTTCAGCCGCCATTCCTTGTTCAGCTGATCGAAAGAGCTGGCTGGAAAATTTTCGATCGTTCAGAGCCGGCAGCCAATCAGCTGCCTGCCCTGATCGGGTATTCTGGTGTTGGTGTGTTGATGGAAGAATCGGGTCAATTTTTTTCGTTCAGCTCACAGGTTGAACGAAAAAAATGTATAAGTGTATGGCCAGCATTAGGCAAATATTTTTTTGGACATTTCACCTGTAACTTATGTGTTTTTCATGTTTATTTAATGAACCTTTTCCCCAAGTGTCATGCTCTCCTATTATTATGGACAATCAATTAACAGTCGATGACCTCACGGCTGTCAAAGTGGGATTTAAACCTTAACTCCAGGTACATATGTGAACTGATACCCAAGCCAACAGATTTTTGAAATTCTGTTAAGCCAATCTTATGATCCATATACCCTGTTAGACAACAAAAACAAGTCAATGGCTCCACTTCTGTCCATTTCAGTTAGGATGTGCAGTTTGTTCACCAACCAGCATGTTGACTGGTCAATGAAGGGGAATTATTAAAGTGAAGAGATTATCATACTGCTAGATACTAGTCCAACAACAGTTCGACTCAAACATCGGTATTTCGTGTACACACAAGGGCATTTGGCGGGCTATTCACCCGCCGAGCACCCCACGAGGCATTTTGCACCGCACAGTGCCCTGTGAAGCCCTGATTGGGTAAAGCAATGCACCAAAGTCTTGCACCACAGGTCAGGTGCAAGACTTTGCCAACTAACTGCACAGTGCACTGTAAGAGATATGATTGGGTCACCCCAATTTCCTGCCCTGCCAGGCCTATGCTCATATCAAGGGTCTGGTTAGGAATTTTAGGAGGGACTCCATGTCCCCCCCCCCATTTTTGGGGGTGGGGTTCCTCCTTAATATTCCTACCAGACATTACGGCCTGGCATGACTGAGGGGGAAACCCTACCTGTGTTTTGTTTTTTTTAATCGGGGTCCCTCCTAAAATTCCTACTGGACCTTAAGAGTCTAATATGACTTTTGGGGGGAACCCCACACTTTTTTTTCTTTTTATTTAAATGGGCTCCCTCCTAGCATTCCTACTAGACCTAAAGGGTCTGGTATTGTTTGAGAGGTGGAACTGCACACTTTTTTTTTTCTTTCCTTATAAATGTCACTTTTTGTTGTAGCAGGTTCTATACATATTTTTTGTCATTGATACATGTCCCCCAGGGCAGTACCCCAGACCCCCATACCCTTTTTATGGCCAATAACTTGCATATACACCTTCAGAAAGGGGACATTTCGAAGTTCGAGTTCAAACTTTTTCCATGTTCTAAAGTTCGAACTCGAACCGAACTCAGATGTGTTCGGACCATCTCTACTGCAAACTTTGTTTTGCAAGCTTCCAGGTTTAGATTGACAGCATTTGTACAATGTATTAGAGCCTTACTGGCTCACAGTGTTGTTCCTACCCTGTCTGTGGCCTGCACAATTCAAGACATTAAAATAAATTAGCACTAAAGACAGATTTAAGTACTTATTGATTATAAAAGTACATTTTATTGCTAGCCTTAAAGCTAAACTATGGTTAGGTATAAAAGACATGTCCAGTCCTGTATAACTAACAGCGATATTTCCTTCCCCAGAGACACAACAGGAACTGAGTGGATATCCCATGAAATTAAATTGGAACCCCAAATATAAGTTATTCCCCAGAAAAATGTCTTTATTGGAAGATATCCTCTAGACTTCTGTTTTGCTGACCACTGTAATATTTGGTGTACTGTAATATATTAATTGCCCTAAAAAATACTCCCAAACAGGGGGACAGACATCAGTTAAAACCTTACAGAGGTTCTAAACTTTATCTACTCCACCTAAATCTAAAAAATAGATTGGGTTGAAGTTTTACTTTAGGAACTATCTTCGCCCCTGTCCTTGGAAAGAATGGTTATAATTAGGGATTCACTGATACCGATGCTAGTATCAGTGCCGATACCGAGTATTTGGGTTAGTACTCGTACTCGCCCAAATGCTCCGATACCTTTCCCGATACTGGAACTTCCGGTCAGGGGAAGATTTCCTCTCACTGGCAGTGCCACAAAGGGAACATGGAGTCGGGAAGCTGGCTCCATGCTGTTTGGCCGGCTACATGCTGGTTGGCCGGGAAGCCGGCTTCCCAGCAAAACGGCATCGAGGCCGGCCAAACAGATCTGACAATATGGTGACACGACCCCCACCCTGCAGGCACCTCATTCCCCTCACATAGATTCTTAGCAGTAGTCATTACCGTACCAGTCCCTCGGCCAGCTGGGCAGACACCGCTCTCCAAGCTCTCCCGGATCTGCCCACGTAGAGTCGGCTTTCCGGGCAATCAAGAAGCCGGGCAGTGGGTAATGACACGCCGCCTGGCTTCCTGATTGCCCGGGAAGCTGGCTCTATGCTACCGGAAGTACCCGTATCGGTACGTGGTATCGGTGAGTACCGAAATATAAATATCTGATATCTGGTATCTGTGCATCCCTAGTTATAATGTGAAAGTTTGCATCTCCTTGGGTGTTTGGATTTAACAGTAGCTTGTATTAGCAGTTACATTTTTAAACATAGGGTCAACATGGTTTTCACCCAATGTTTATGTGTAGGGAAGAAAATTTCATCTAGAAACCCTAACCTGGTCTTGTAATTGAGACCATTTTTTACAATAAACTCAATTCAAGGAGCATAAGAGTCAAGAACTTATATTAATAGAATCATATAAATAAATAACCATATTAAAACCTAGAACATATACCTCTATGCGATTTGAGTGAGCAAATGATAATGAAAAACTACATTTTTGATTATTGGTAAAAATCACAATGGTCATCAGTTCGGCATTATATCATAACATCATGAACGTCACACACTCACTTCAGCCTGAAGTCATCAGCAGCCAACCTTGCGTTGTCAATCTCTAGAATCATTTTGGAGTTGTTGATTGTTGCCACAAAGATCTAGAAAAGAAATAAGTATTGTATAAAAGTCAGAGAATACATTCAAACAATGCATTAGCAAGGCATTAATCATATGTTTATTCAGTAAATATGGGCAAACCATACTTATATTGTACAACCTGCAGTTATCCATAGAAATACATTTATTTTAAGGTCAGATCTGTAAAACTTTTCTTCTGATTGGATGCCAAGGGTCACAGCACTTGTTTACAATGCTTTTTCTCTTTTGAGTACATTATGTTGTGTTATCCAACATACAAAAATGGAGAACAGTATACGTTGCCTATAGTAACACCCATAGAACATATTGCATAGCTTCCCATAGTAAAGATTAAAGCTAACCAGCACATAAGTCCTTGGCCCAACAAGCATTAGAACTGCATAAATTGATTAGCTTGAAATTAAACTGGTTTGTGTCTGTCAATTCCAGGACAATGGCAAAACCTGTAGCTATAACCTGACTGATTGTTGTAAGCATTATATATACAAGCAGTTTTCTATGCATTTGTAAAACATGTTTAATATTGGAATCTTAACATTAGACATATTCATCTTTGCATAAACAAACCTTTCAACAACAAAGCTATCACAATATGCAACTAGAACATTGCCGAAAGACATTTGTGTACCTTATCACGCAGCTCATCAATACCAGTGTAGAAGCCTGCAAAGCTCTGTTCACGGACAGTCGCAGAACCTTGCTTTGCGTACCAATCACGGATTTTGACCTCGAGATCATTGTTGGCCTGCTCCAAGGATCGCACTCTGTCCAGGTAGGTGGCAAGACGGTCATTCAAGTTCTGCATGGCGTACTTCCCATTTCCAGAGAGCAATCCATCTCCACCAGAACCAGCACTCATGCTAGCACTAAAGGAAGATCCACCACCATAGCCAGCTCCACCTCCAAAGCCAGCTCCACCACCAAAGCCAGCTCCACCACCAAAGCCAGCTCCTCCACCAAGCCCAGAGCGTGCAGAGCCTCCACTGGACATAGAGATCCTGGATCCTCCATAGCCACCTCCATGGACACTCGCTGCCCTGTAGATCCCATCAGACAGCCTGGAGGAGACACCACCGCTCTGACTGAAGCTGAAGCTCATTGTGATAGTAAGTAATGGTCAGATGGGATTGATTAGAAAACAGGCTCCTACACAACTTGACAGGAGTCAGGAGTGCAAGTAACCTTGCTACATGGTCTTCTTTTATACCATCAACGGAGAGGTGCGACTAACCAAAAGGGTCATGTTCCATGACATTCTTTACACATCTAGGAACAGAGCCAAGTCTTCTATCCAATCCTTACTGGCCATTTACTGGTTTTGAAGATGATAATTTACATTCTTGCTTTTTTTGCCTTAGGTCAAGCACATTTTAGCTCTCTTGTTTGATTTGTATCACATGTCTGGAGGGCTTAATTTTCAAAATCCATACTGTAAAATGAGTGCAACTTAAATGTGCTACTGCATTTTGTAAAAAAAATACCTGCAAAGCAGTAAATAAGTAAAACAATAAACACGCTTGAAAATAATTCTCAGATTGAGGCAATGCATATCTATGGTATATAGCATAATGTTACATTAAGACTACCAAGATAAAATAGCTTATTTTTGCAATAGCTTATTTTTTTATACAAAAATACATATTTTTATAATAAGTTATCTGAGCTCCTGACATTATTAAGAACCTACACAGTCTTCTTTGATAAGGCAAAGTACAGTCTCTCATTGAGTGCAATTAGAATTGGTGGTATAGTGACCAGAGTGACTTGAGTATGGTTGCCATGGGTAATTTCACTTTGCGTCATCAGTGGTCTTTTAATCAGCTTAGACTGGGCTCACACTGTTGCACTGCATTAAAGGATGTTATGCCATACCTAATGTACCAAAACATACCAAAAAGCTCTATTTTTTGTGGCACATTGCACTACATTGCGTCATAGTGGTTTACTATGTGTTGTGGTGTGCTGCAACACGCTCCCATCAGCAAAGTGTGATGGGGTGCCATACTGCATGGCAGTGGTGTAAATGGGGCCTCAATATGTTAGCTAAATAGACATCAGATTTTGATAATCTGTTTAAGATTAAATGTATTTGTTTGTCCATTGCTTTTAGACTTAATAAAAAAATTAGACTAGTGACCCATTTTACACCTTATATATTGTTGCAGGATACAAGTGTGTATGTGCATGTATTATATGATTAGAATTATATGGAAGAATTAGACATTATGGTGGTTAAAGGCTGCCCATAGAAAGCTTGATGTAGAACTCTAGCCATTATTTTAGTAGTGTGCGCGGGTTTGAGCCAACGGGTGCAACTGTATCGATAGCAGCCCTTACCCCTGCTACGGCAGGCAGAGGCTTCAGGGGTCTTTGTGGGGCCTGCAAGGGAATTGTAAAAAAGGAAGTATTTTCTTTGATCTATTTAATCCTCCAGCCACCTTCACACTGTAAACTGAATTTTAAAGAGAGGACTATATTCTGTACATCAATCCACCCACCCAAGCCAGCTTAGTTCCTGCCAGCCTCTATGGAGAAGGAGTCAGGAAGCTCAGCATATCAGACAGGTGGTAGTGACAACCTTGCCACAAAAAAAAAAAACAGCCTGTGCAATTTTTTGGGGATAATTTAGGCACCTTTGCCAGGCAGGTATCTGTATGATGCTATTGTCATCAATTCTAGTTTGGCCAGACAATGGCCACCATTATAAATGGTTGTTCGGGTTTTATGATAGCTCTAGACCATCAGTGTTTATGAGGGCTTTTATTAGTTACCGATTACACAATTCATGTTTCTGGTTCACCAATTTAGCTTTATGTGCCACCGCACCACATCATGCTTTCTCATTAGACAACAAATTAGCATAATTGCATCTGTCATTTGAGCAGGCCTAGGAAGCAGTAAAGCTGACCCTGAAGCAGTAATGGTAACCTTCAAAAAAGCCGAGTGATTGTCCTGACTAGCAGAGGGGACTTACAGTATATTGAGAATAGCTGGACAAAATTACAAACTGGTAAAACTGTTAGTGGCTTTTATTAATTGTGCTATATAAGCCATGACACCAATGTTTATGGAGGGTGATACTAGGGATGTGGTAAAGAGAGCTATAATTGGCTTTGCAATGAAGGCAAAATGTTGGTTCTGAAGATAATTGGAACTCTAGCTATTTTTTTTCTTGTGAGGAACAGCTAGATCCTCAGTTCTTAATAATATCCGTATCCCCAGAAGGCATGAATTCTGTTCACTTTTAATTAACCCTATAATGTTACAGAATGTTATAGCCACCAGGCCTGCAATTACAGTAACATTTTTGCTGTCACACAAGTCCTCTTCTTCTCGTCACACTAGCAATGCTATCACTCACCAGTGGCAGGATCACTATGCAGGTTACAGCAGAGCAGTAAAACATTTGTCTGCTTTCACATGACACTACTTTGCTGGCTGGATGAGCAAGGTGCCACCACTGGCAAATTACAATTAGCAGTGTTGTTGTCAGGGATGCCTCCTTCATCAAGCCAGTAAGGAAGGGACACATACAAGCAGGTAAATTATACATCCATCCACATTTTAACAATCCTATCTCTGGTAGGTTTTGGCCAATGACAGAATCGTTATTGTGACATGGGCCTAACGCTTTGTTCACCCCTAGGTGTTTTGTCGCTCAAAGGTAAGCGTAGCAAAATGCTCAAGACAAGGAATCCCATTTGCTTGTCTTGAGTGTGACAAAACACTCAAGACAAGGAAACCCATTCATTTTATTGGCCCCTGTTCAAACCTGAGCATTTTTGTCGTAATCAGAAAAACACCTGTCCCTGGAAAAAGTACATGAACTACTTTTTGGCAGATTAAAGCCCTTTTTGATCCCATAGACGTCAATGGTAAACTTTGTGCAGCAAAACGCTGAGGTACGAACAGGGTTCATAGAAATAAATGGGATTCCTTGTCTTAAGCATTTTGTCGCCCTTTAGCTCTGAGCAACAAAATGCCTAGGTGTGAAAGGGGACTAATAGACATTGCAATAAACCATTACTCAGAAATCTCAGCGTACTAAATATTCCAATCCAGTGTCATGTAATTGCTGCCTCATAGTAAATGACACAACAGCATTGCTGCTTGTTACTCAGGGTGATGTTCTTGATAATGAATAGTGGAGCATACCTAAGCTTTGAATGATAGCATGAGTGCTTATAGTCTCCACTGAGAGCACTTCTGACAGGGTGACAACAATTGAAAGACTGAGATAGAATGAGAACACTGTCACCTTTAAATATGGCAGGATTATAAGGTATTATATATACAGTGTATATATAATAAAGTAAGCACGGCTTAGAAGTGATTAAGCATACACCAGTTTTGCCTTGACACAGTAAAGAATGCAAGTTTATCCCCTGCAGTTACTAAATATTTCATTTCAGCTTTCCTACAAGTCCTCTCATTCCCAAGGGCTTGTGGGGGTTATCTATCTAAAAATTTTCACCTGTCAGCATGCTGTAGAGGGCCTGAGAACAGTAGTCCGGAACTTACACCTTAGCTGCATGCCACGGTTTGCCACTGAGGCAAAATAGGCCGTAGGGTCACATTAAGGGACGCTCTGCCCTAATTACAAGCTATAAACTTGCTGAACTATTTCTGTTATTATCGCTTGGAGTGATTGTTAAATGATTTTCATGTGAATTCATGCAGGAGAACAATATACCGTGTAGTGAAAGTTGATATCTATTGTCGAATTCATTTCAATACATTTTTATTATAAGTTTGCATGTATTAAGAAAGCTGTTCAACTTTCCTGTGTTGTTGTATACAGTGTCATATAAAGATTGGAACAGGGTATGGGTTTTTCTTTTAAAGTGTATTAGTTTTAGACCCAGCCAGGAGGTGGGGTGGTGTAGAGTTGGGTAAAGTGGTAAGTGTGCAGGCCGAAGAGAGAGACATGAAGAGTGCTTAGGGGAATCTCAGTCTTCCCTACAGGGCAAAGAAGTGAGGTACCTGAGTTGGGATATGGACAGACCAAAATGTGACGTGACTATGGGACGCATAGGTCATATAAGAAAAATAATGCATGAGTATGCAAGCTTCCCTCCTCTTGCAGAACTGGAACCGTGAAATCATACCTTAGCAAATATGTTTAATGATGCACTGTACTGCCACAAGTTATTTGGATATGTGGCATTACAAATCAGTTTAGACATTTGCAGTTTTTTTTATGAGAAATTCAGTAAACACCTTAAGAAACATGATAAGCAGAACTCTATCAGTCTCTATTTCTTGTTCAATAAAATCAATATGGCCTATAACTGTGGATAGAAGATGTTAAATAGTGAAGGAGTAATTGACCTATGCCAGGAGGACTTGAAATTCATGGGTGTCCCCGTTACTTAATCTGACCAACCATAAGTTCTCATACAATTCATACCCACACAGCTACCTCCTCATGTATCACTTGCCCCCCCTTTTAGATTGTAAGCCCTCACGGAAAGGGCCCTCCTTACCATCTTGTCTTAAATTGTATTGTGATTGTAATGTCTTCCTTATATTGTAAAACGCTGCGCAAACTGTTAGTCCTATATAAATCCTGTATAATAATAATCATCATTAGAGTTGGAGCATTCCACTGGCCTTTAATTATCTTCTAGCTGGGCGTTGTGTGAAAATGAACCTAACACATGGAGTATAGTCTATGACCACTCCCATGTAGAAACTTCAGTTAGGTTCTTGGATGCCTCTAGGATTCTGAGGTTTAGAAGAACAGCCGAAAGATGGCACATTCAGTTCTAACCTTTACAAGATCATATACATATCTGCATATAATGATTGTATGCAAATACAAAAATCATGCAGTTGTATTCTCCTCTTGAATACAGACCTCCTTATAGTTCCAGTAACATCAGGGATGTCAATAACACAAAGCAATTTTGGTAGATTTGGAAAGAGGTGCTTTGGGTCCCTTTTACATTTTGGATGGCAATATTTTGCTATTTTGCACAAAGCATGACCAGAAACAACCCATAGCCAACAGGAAAGATTGTATAATAAAGCAAGGTGAGAATCTTAGTGGTAAAGGAGATGGTAAAATACAGGGGATTATTTGGTATCCAAAGGTCT